AAGTTGATGTTTGGTCGGGAACTTCGGTTGCCAGTGGATCTGTTAACAGGACGCCCACCTTATGAAGAGTTTCCTGAAAATGTGTCAGAGTTTGTGAAAGTTTTATCGGAAAGGATGGATGATATTCACCATCAAGTGTGCTCAAACTTGAAAACGTCTGCTGATTCAATGAAGTTATCTTATGATAAGAGATCTACTGAAGTTAGCTTTGTACCAGGAGACAAGGTGTGGTTGTATAATCCCAGGAAGACCAAAGGGAAGTCTCCTAAGTTGTATTCTCCATGGGAAGGCCCACATGACATAGTGGATCGTCTCTCAGACGTGACTTTCCGAATAAAATGTGGTCAGCGAGGTAAGCCAAAGGTGGTGCATGCCAACAGGCTTTGGCATTATCACGGTCCAGGACATTTCAGTTGGGATGAAGTGAACAATGGAACAAATGACGCTGCTGAAGACGTGTCAGCTGAAAAAGCCACTGTCGAAGAAGAAACAAGTTTTATAAAGAATAGACTTATTTCGTACTTTCTTACTTAGGACTTATTCATGTATTTACTATTATTTTTATTACTCACATATTCTCGCCTATTTCGGTATTTATCACGATTTAAATGTTGTCGTATGATTTTATCTTTAAGAGGATGTCTTATTAATAGAATTTATTAATATAGAATTAACGACAATAGTGCATCACAAGGAGAATATAAAATTTGGAGACGGCTTAAATTCATAAGTAGTATATTCACGATAGCGGGTATACGGAAGTCCAGCAAGTAGACTAGACCCATAGTAACCACTACTAAGCACGATCATAACTGATCAAATTGCATCGTGCATGTAGCAGGGGACATAGTGGTTGCATAGTATTCTGTTATAAAGTTTTACAAAACAAATATGTTAGAGGCAATAAAATATAATAACAGAAAACTAGAAGTTTTAGATCAGTTAAAATTACCCCATTCGTGTACTTATCAAGGTGTAACAAATGTCACGCAGACCTGGGAAGTTATTCGGTCAATGAAGGTAGGCTAAGAGTAAGAGTCCAGTGTATCCAAACATTTGTGTTGCTTCCTGTTAATAGTTTTAAATTTGTAAAATTGTAACACTTTAAACTGTAGTAAACTCTTACATACTCGTCTAGAGCTTGAATTTTTCTGTCTTCAGCAATTCCCATTTTAATCTCCTGTAATCTCTACTGCTGCCATTGCCAATGACAACTCATTCCTTAAGGCTTAATTAAGTCAGTCACCTTGTTAGAAAAATTAGACTGTTTTAACTGTAGCATATCCTGTTGTTTATAAGTTTCAAATTTGTGTCCTCTTGTACAATTTAGAACATACCACACAGAAATCAGAGGTCTTTGTCCTTTCAGTCTCTTGGATAATCTTGTAAATGTCAATAAGACCACTTCTTACCCATATTTTCTGAAGAGAATTAAAATCAAGTGAGAGATATTTTAACCATATTAGATTACCCTTCCATTTTTGGAATCATACTGATAGTAATGGCCATCCACTGAATTTTTTGTAATAATTCATTATCCTTTTTTTTTTCATATAAGGGGACCAAGAGTGTGTAAAGTATTCCAATTGAGGCCTAAATAGAACCTTATGTATAAATAATTACATTTTTTGACTTGTAATTAATTTTCTATAAATAAACCTGAAACTTATCTTAGCTTAATTACTAGCAACATAGCACTACTTTGATGGCTTGAGTATTTAACCATCGCTATGTCTAGATCCTTTTCTTTAGTCGTGACGTTGAGTTGATTCCTTTGTATATTACATATGTGATCCAAATTAGGATGATAATCCATTGTGCAGCTTTGTGTTTAACAATATATAAAAACAAAATACACTGAATAAGTGAATTTAGTAACAGTATAGTTCATGTGTAGATATTTGCATTTGGTTCAAAAATAACATCAGTTGTCCAAAATTTAGGCTTTGAATCTCTTGCTCTCAATTTTTGTCCTTTACCTAATTCAGAGCCTTACTACACCTTACTTTATGAGATAATTCAAATGTAAGCAGAATGCTTTAGTAAATAATTAAAGGGAATACCTTGTTAGTATAACTGAAAAACTTCATTATTGGATATACAGAGTATAGTATGTACAGTTACAATGTTTCACCATGTTAGCCTGGCATAATCTTTTCATGATATTGATAATATTTTGAGAATGGTTGTTTGGAGAAGTGAAGCATTGTAACCATATTTATTATACTCTCTGTAACCTATAATAAGCAAGTTTTTCAGTTATACTAATGTGGTACCTCCTGTAGTCATTTATTTTTTCTCTTCAGAGAATGTATTAAGTTTTTAACAACTACAAGAGTCCTTTTCTTGTATTTGGTTTTCACAATGTGTTAACATTAAGTAAACACTTGTGTGGAACATACAGTCTCAACTGCAAAACTTCTGTTAAACAGGTTAAAAACTCAACTCTGCATAGAAAAGACAAAACTGGTCATCAAATTTCTCAAGAAATTTCTTGATTATAACCTAGCCTCACAAGTTCCTGAACTGCACATCAAATCCTCCAAATGATAATTTTTCTGAAAATTATCAACATCATGCACAGATGATGCCAGGTTAACTTGATGAAATGGTGTAACCATACTTATTATACCAAGTGTTTCTGAAAAAGAAAAGGTTTTCAGAATATTTTAGTGTTTCAAAAATATGACACCACATGCAAAAGGAAAAATTTAATATTAAGTATTGTATCGTTATATTACCCATTGATCCATCAGTATAATAGCATTACAAGATCTATACAAGGCCTGAAATGATAGTTCCAAATAAAAGTATCATTTACATAGATTTAAAAAAAAAGGATTGTGAAAATGTCTGTCAAAAATTCAACTTGCCAAATTCTGCCAAATAATAGAAATAATTACATCAACATGCCAAGAAGAAAGCTAGCAAAATGTCTGAATCTTTAGTTTACAGACTCCAAACTTGCCAGAAACATGGATGGTGTGATTGAACTTGTTTGAGTTGAGTCTCTGGTGGATGTATAGTCAGTTTCATGTAGTTCCACATCACACAGTTTCCTACAGTGGTGAAGAAAAACAACACACCCATCTCTGTGAATATAATGCTTGCATCAGAGATAGAATGCATAAGCTACTGTTTTTGTTTAATATAATTGATTCAGAGTTTATACAGAACTAGTTTTAAACTCAAGAAGATGTTGTATAGATAATTCTACATATTTTATGATTGCTACGTCAGTGATTTACTGAAAGTTAAGCTAAGTATGGAATAACTGACATGAGAAAGTGTTGGCTGTAGGATAAAACCTTCAGGGCATATTGGAAATCTTTGTATTATAATCAACTTTTTTGGCACTCATTGTGCACAATTGTTCTCCAACCATGTCTACAGGTAAATGTTTTAATAAGTCATCATACTCTTTCTTTCTGAGTTTTCTGACTCACAGGTATGCCATCAACAAAGATAGTTAGGGAACATCAACAAATTTTTAACTTAGTAGTTTTTGACTTTGTCCTAATAAGAATGAAAAAATTATTGTATTTATCACCTCGATTGTTTATACCTATCACCATTTTTCTTCATCCGAGCCACTTTTATTTCTTTTTTTTTTTTATACTAAATGTTAATAATCTTGCTAATTTCAGGATTCCTTTACACTTCAATCATTCTGCTTTTATATGCAATTATAATTTCAAATTGCATTAAAGATGCTGAAATTTTAATATAATGTACTCAACTACTGTACTTTGGAGCTTTAAGAATAAAAGTTGTCAGGTAGCCATTTCAGGAAATTTACCACTTGTTAGATATGAAAGAATTTTAAGCAGGATGAAAGAATGAAATTAGATATAATAATGGATTTGTCTGAATGAACAAATTACCTGGTTTATTATATATACATATATCTGAAGAAAAGGTTTAAGGGTAGGGGAGAAACATTAACACATGATGGATTCCATTTAATCATGTTAGGAAATACTATAGTATGTATGAGGCAGTGATATGTCAGAAGCCTTTTGATATAACAAACTATTAGCAAAATTTTCTTTATGCTAACTATTATGAATTGATTATGCAGAATACGTTTTTGGATAATGTGCTTAAATATGCTTGTTTCTGTAACATCCTTTGTACTGTGGTTTGTAGATAATGACAATGTTATAGAATTATCAGAAATGGAGCAGAAAGTTACATAAAAATAGTTGTGAATATTCATCCAAGTGTGAAAAAATTATAGATTATTATTTAAAAATGTAAATTTTGTAAATTAGATCATCAAATTTTTCATTATAAAATGTTTTCAAATTTATCTGATAGGTCAAAAAAAGATTAAGGCCATATGAAATATCTTGAAAGTTCCATCAATACTATGATTGATTTTTTTTTAATTGTGAAAGAATATATCAAGAACAGTTTATTTAATGTGATTTTATCCAGTAGGTACGTGGTGCACCTGCCATTGCCAATGTTGCTGTTCTAGGAGTAGCAGTGGAACTGAATGAGAAGGATTTTAACTCCAAAGAACAACTTTATGAAGTGGTTAAAGAGCAGTTAGAGTACTTACAGACTTCACGACCCACAGCAATTAATCTTAGGAATGCAGCAAATCGAATTATTTCCTTGCTATCTGTACAACTTCAAGATAACAAATTGTCTGTAAATGATATGAAAGAAAGGTAATAGGAATTGTTTTATATGTATTGTTATGTTATTGTAATAAGAAATTTCTTAAAAGGTTTTGATTGTTAAATTTATAGACTTGTATTTTATTCACAAAAGAAAATTAGTACTAGATTTTCTGTATTTCTAAAAATAGTTTCCAACAAGTCATGAGGAACCACTATAATAGAGTTTGCAATTTGTTTGACGTAGCTGCATTTCTTTGTTTTTAGTCTCATTTTAGTGGGCCTTTAACTCTTTCAGCATGGGCTTGGTCCCTGGGACTGACCTCATAACCATTCTATGCTGGTTATAGTTTTCATGCTATAATTTTTAAATTAGTAAGCGAATGTTAATGAAATTAAGCAAACTATCAGTAAACATTACAATGCTTTCATACACAAAATATCTACTTTTTTTTATTAAGTCTTAAGGTTTGTAAAGCAATGTCTATCGTGCAAAGTAATATTCATTTTAAGATTAAAAATACTTCTATGTATCAAAAAAAATTTCAAATTTCACATGCAAAATCTTTATAATGTATGGATAGTTATCAAATGTTTCTTAATACAAAACTTTATATTTTATCTGTTATTTTCAATAATGAATCTCTGTACGAGTTCGGTAGATTTGACCGATCTCGTGACAACCATAAAAAATTAGGAAATATATACAAATTATGCCTCTTTCATTCTAGAATGAACACAGATTATAACACAAAAACATAAATGTTTAGACTAAATACCTTAAATCCTATAACATTATACATTTATATATATTTATTATTTTTATTACATTGACCTTTCAGCCATGCCAGGCTAACAGTACAGAAGTTACATTGGAGCTGCACATGAGCACTCATGTTACCGTATCCAATAACATAAAACTGACCTTTGGTCTGTACAAAGTAACTTGTCTTGGCTGTGCTTTAGTAGACTAGTATTTTGTAAAATACAGTCAAATTTCAATTATTATACACTAAAAATGTATATAAATTATTGCTATTTTGAAATAAGTTCTTAAACTTATTTTTCTTAAACCATAGAACATTAAATAAAGAAGTAAAGCAAACAGTTATCTCTTCTAGTTACGATCTTTATACTTGGTTGCTGTTTGACGTAGGTTTCTAAGCCTTTAAAAATTTTGCACGAGGAGAATGAGAAACAATAATTTTTTTAGGTTTTATATATACATTTGAATATCTAAAATATCATAAATTACTATATCAGTACCATAGAATTCCACTGTAATTTATCAAGGTTAGTAACTAAGATGTATTTTAGTCTAAAAGAATATGAAATTTCAAGCAGACTAAAGACACACCCTACCTCCTTGAAATATTGGTTAAAAAGAAAGAAATAGTCCAAGCCCATTAAAATGGCTGAGAAAGCCACTATAAGGACATTCTGAGCTTTCGATTGGTTATTCATGTCATATGTAGAAGTAAGTGCATATAAGAGAACATTTCCAAAAATGGAAAGAGGTGGGTGGGATGCCACTGTTTGATTTATTACATAAGCAATATCTTAGTAAATAGAAAAGATAAGACGTTCTTATTTTATGTTCTAGCTTCTCAATATCGGTAATTTGAGTTTCTAATTTGTTCAAAACTATAGACATATAATTTGATCCAGTGCTGCATTCAACATACCACGTGACATTCAAAAATCAATGTTTATCTGTGTTTTTTAATATTTACTTTTAAATTAACAAATTGAGTAATGTATAGTTCTAAAATTTGAATTATAATCTACAGTTTGATACTAAACGTATTATATGAATGCAAGTCAACAAATGAGATGACATGGCCTTTCACCCATGACCTGTCTTGAAAGAGTTTATAATATAAGACATATTACTGTCTTAAAATATATGTAACTTATTTATGATGATAATGATACTGAGCTTATAGAATCCAGAAAGTAGTATATCACTGTTACAATTTTCTTGGGTCTAAGTAAAGGAAAGCATTAAGTAGCAACAAATATACTTTTTTGAAAATAATATAGAACAAATTGCAAATCCTGTTGTGAAGCATGATAATTTTTATACTAGATATATGTATAATATTTCAATATATTGGGTTCATAAAGATATACTGATGAATAGTATAAATATATAAACATTTTTATATTAATGACTGAGAGATTAGGTTGCCATATTATTTAGAATGTTTCATAAAAGAAAACGATAATTTTACAAAATATATTATGGCCAAAATCTGCTTCTTATTCAGGCAGCAAATGGTTTAACTGGACAACACGATTTGTAAGAAAACAATAGAAGAATACTGGTCGACTGAATTTTACATATACACAATAACAGAAAATAAAGAGTTTGCAAACCAGAAGAAAGAAATCTATAAAGTAGACAACAAAAAGGAAATTTAAGGCATTTTAGAAATTAAATCAGGTTAAAAAGTTTTTGAAGTTATTTCAAAGAAAAGATGCCATTGGTTGTAAATACAATGTAAGAAACTTGAATGAAAACTGAACCAAATAAGACATTCTGTTGTTGGGATTAAACTTTGCCATGGGCCAAAACAAATTTTGTGTAATGATATTATAATAACAAATATAGAAGCTATGACTGTTGTTATTTCAGTACCAAATAAAAAGGGCAGAACTTGAAGCAACATTTTTCATACTTTGATATATACAAGGAGACTGCACTTGAATTTAATTTGTATTTAGAAGAATTAAGAAACAGTAATGGTGTAGTTATTATTCTAGCTGATAAAGGTTATAACTAATAAAACTAGTCATGGCCCAAAAGTAGTATGATTAAAAATATAACCTTTTATTCCCATATTCTTGTTACAAGAAGCTAAATTGGCCTATCTAAAAAAACAGGAAAGAGGATGAACAAAAGGAGAATACTATAAATTGTCAATTCATCATATCACAATTCCTACCAAAAATATAAAAGACTAATATTCTACTCTGCCAAACTGTTTATCCCCTTGGTTCACCAGTGTACAACATAGTTAAATATCTCAATGACCATCCTCAGCTTTTTACTTTTAAAACACATACATATATGAACAAGATAAATAAAAAAATGGGAATTTAAAAACTTGCAAATAGAGACTGTAAAAAAAAGTAAGCAAACAAGGCAGTAGATACTGTAGACATTATTTATTCAAACTACAAACCCCTATTTTTGATCCATGCTGTTACCTAGAATTACATTTGATGGATTCAAATTAGGGATTTGTAGTTTGAGTAAATAATGTTTACAGTATCTCTAGCCTTGTTTGCTTACTTATGCTGTGTTGTAAATAGAATATATAAATTTTTTAATTTTGTTTAAAAACATTTTTAAAATGTAGTGATACTATAAGTAAAAACAGTTTTAAATTTTCATGTCTGCTGTCATGATATTGTAATAACAATAATTGACATTCATTTTATGTGATATTTAATTTGTTGTAAGCATTTGAATATTCTAAAATTGTCAGTTAGTTTGTAGAGAGATAAAAATATGTTTAAATATGGTTGCTGAAATTTAACTGAGAGTGAGAGCTAGTGAAAGAATTTACAATTACACTAAAAGGAACCTTACTTTTATGTTTTAATATAAATATATCATCAATGTTATGAGCCTACAATGCTCTATACCAGTATCTGAATTTCTGATCTACCTTAATGAATTTAGTACAGGAATTAAGGAAAAATATTTGATAAATTTGAATGTTATGAGATTTTTAGAGATACTTCTGTCACCACAATTATTTACCTTAATTTATTTCCTTAAATCATGTATAAAACAAGTGTAATCCCATAACTTTTTCAGCAGAAGATTTACATTGGAAAATGGTATTTTAATTCTCTTAAGGTATGTGAATAATGCAATTTGCATATGATAGCTGAATTTTGTGCCTTGGTTTATGTTTCATGTCCAGTCATGAAGTGATTAGGCCTAGATTTTAGTGGACTTTGTTATCATATGACTGTACTGTATATCATCTGAAAGACCAGTAATAGTGGGGGTTAGATAATAAAATATATCATTGATTTTATTACATAACAATAAATTGGTAAATGGATAATTTTCATATCAGCAGATATATCACAATCTTTTAACTCAACAGTGAGACCATTATCTCGAGAATTGATTCCCTAACTTTTTCAGGTTAAGTATCTTTTTCCAGAATATTCTCATACCTTCAACCTGGACATATATTAATTTTAATGTTTTTTAGTTGTTTAATTTTTACCAAAATTCTTCCCTTAGAATAACTTGTACAGCAGGTTATGAAATGCTGATTTGGAGGATAAGAAGTCTCAGGGCTAGCAAATCTCAAAAGGAAAGTAATATTGTTTGCATTTCTGAATCTTAAGGAGAATAGGCATTATACGGCTAAGTATTTGTAAACTGCTCATGTTTCACCAAGAGAATGTTTCAGATTCTATTGTTTGATCTTCAGAAAGCTCTTTTTTTTTCTGTTAGAGAAAATTAAAACCTCTTCACCTTTTATATGTACTTAAGAGGGAATTTTAATTTCTTTGTATAAGTGATTTCTCTTTCAGGATCATTAAAGAAGCAGAGGACATATTCAGAGAATGTAAGATGAAAAATCTTGCCATTGGGGAACATGGAGCATCACACATTATAAACCATTTATCCACTGGCAGTCAAGCCACTATTCTTACACATTGTAACACTGGTAGCTTGGCAACTGCTGGATATGGAACAGCTTTGGGTGAGTACTACATTTTTATGCCATGGTACATATATATGAAGATAACCATACTGTAACACAGTACAGTACTTGCATTAACACAATATTATGTGTATATTATTGATTAAAAACAACTTCAGTGCATCTAACAGAGGGCTGCAGAAGAAATTGAGTTATTAAACAAATCACATCACATGTCACAAATGTTAATTACTTACAGAAGAAAACAGTACCCCCCACACCATAGTTTCACTAAATGTTTTCATTATGCATTCTTGAAATGCACCAATGTGAAAGGTTTTTGTCCTGGAAACTAATCTGTGCATCCCGGGTTACATGTTTGAGCTATCAGATTAGTGTCATTGCTGGTCACAATAAGGGGTAGGATACAAGTGTGCTGATATCTTTCAGGCTACTGTTTTACTGATCATGTCACAAACGGAAATCACCAATTGGCAATTATCATAGTGCACAATCGGCCCGATTCCAGTTCCAGTTACGACAATTACCCACCTTCATGATTCTTGTTTTTCAACCATTTGTTTCCTACTTGAAAAACCCAAAATATCTAGTTTTTCTCATTCAGAAGCAATCACACTTGTCGAGCCACAACTAGCTTGAAGGTAACTTCTTGGAACTATGCATATTCGTAAGTAATGTGACTGTCAAATGATGAAATGGAATGTTACATAGCTGTCCAATAGGTTAGTTATTTTGTAAGTATTTGTATATACCTGTTTACTAATCTCAGCTTATACTGACATGCACAATTCAAACAATAATTTATAATCACTCTGTTGAGATGAGATCTTTGCCTGCCTCCCCAAACAATTGGCTAATACACAGTGCACAGGGAGCCACATGGCGTATCATTCCAAGAACTTCTTGGGAAGAGTCCACATAGACTTCCAGCAACCACACAGTGTTTATTAGTTCTGCTGATGTGATGCCGTTCTCGACAATTTGCTAATGTATGGTCTGTAAAGAAATTAATGTGCAGAGCATTGTTTCTTAATCTATCTCTTGTTCAGTGTATCAACTTTTGTAAATAAATGAGAAACAGACTGAGAATGTTTAACTGTTAAGAGTTTTTATTTTATGGTGAATAATGTTTTATATCAAAAGGAAAATGTACAGGGTCGTGATTGTAAGCATACTTACAAATCAGAAAATTATTGTTGTGAATAAAGTGAACTGGATGATGGTATTTTAAATTTCTAGACAGTCAGTTTTCCGTGATTGGGAAATTCCACTAATTCTAGTTGTTGCCCAATTATGCGATAATTGGCCCAATTCCAAATGCTGAACTGATTATAGGTAAAACTGTTTCAGGCACTTATAAACATTTGTAAAATGCAGGTTCCAGGTTTAAAAAAAGATATGTAGAGAATAATGTCAAACATAGACAACATAGGAAACACAAATCTACAAATAAAACAAAATATTTATTCATACAAATAAAATTAGTTCCTTATAATTTACTCTGCTGCCAAGTTTCAAATTTCAGTGCAAAGACTAATTGGCTGTTGAAATGAAAAAAATATTTCCAAATTATGCCTGCACAGAACAAGGACAGGAACAAGAATAATAAAATATCGTAAGTTAGACCAGGGTTCTATTGAAATTTCCAACAATCCACTGATTAGTATGTAGAGCCAAGCAGGTATAAGCAGATGAGGCTGCATATGGACACATTACATGATTTACTCAATATCTTGCCCTGAAATCCAAAGAATTGTACATTACTGGAGAGTCATGCTTCTGCTACAGAGATTATAGTAAACATAAAGCATTATATAGCTAAATCTCCAAAATTCCAATAGAACATTAAGTAAGTCAATTTCAAGAAACCAGGTGCAATTGAATGTGAGCTATATCGAACAATAAGCCTCATGAGTCATATCACCAAAATAATCCTTAGGATAATAATGATGAGAGTGAGGAAACAGATGAGACCTGAAATTCAAGAAGAACAATGCAGTTTTGTAGGAGATAAATGCACTATAAATAGAATAATAATGCTAAGGATACTCTTAGAATGAGCAATCCAAATACAACATGATCTGTTTGTCTGCTTTATTGAATATGCAAAAGCTTTTGATAAAGTACAACATGAAATATTACAAAATTTATACACAGATGGGAAAGACCTCCAAATAATTAGAAACCTATATTGGGAACAAATAGGAGCCACGAGAATAGAAAATCAAATAAGTGAATATACTGAGATACAGTGAGGGGTTAGATAGGGATGTGTTTTCTCACCAGATCTATTCAATCTATACAGTAAAATGATATTCATAGGGTCATGGTTGGTGGGGAAAAATGTAAACAATTTAAGATGTGCAGATAATACTGTATATATTGCTGGTATGAAAGAAGATCTACAGAACATCCTCAGTAAAGTTGTAATGGAAAGTATGAGAAAAGGACTGACCATCAACTGCAAGGAGACTGAATGTATGGTGATCACTAAGAAGAAGGAAATACCAGAATCTAGATTAACCATTGGGAATGAAACAATCAGCAGGTAAATAAATTTCAATATCTTAGAAGCTGCATATCATCAGATGGAAAATGTGATCACGAAATCAAAAGGCAAATATGATTGGGAAAAGAAGCATTTCTAAAGATGAAGACCATATTCACCAACAACAAGAAATTGAGAATTGAAACATGACTGAAAGTTCTACAGTGCTATGTTCATCCAGTCATTCTTTATGGTTCCGAATGTTAGACAGTATTACCAACAATCAATAAAGAAACACATCGATGCAGTAAAAATGTGGTTCCTAAGATGGAAGTCTTTCTAAAGAAGCCCAAGACAAAACAAATGTTGTGGGAAAATTTAACAAAGAGACACTGGAGTTTTGTAGGACAGATCATGAGAAAAGGAAAGATTGAAAACATCATTATGACAGGAAAAATCCCATGAAAGAAGAGTAAAGGAGAGATGCTGCTATCAACAGTTGTCTAGGGACTAGGAATTACCACTATAGAAATGATAAGAGCAATGGGAGACAGGGATCAGTCTTAGACTATGCTCACCAATGCCTTAGATGGGCATGATACCTAGAGAGAAAGAGAAAGCTAAATATCCAATTTTCAATTAAGTCGTGACAAATATTGCTATGACTTATATTTTCTGATTGGCTTTAGGATAGCTGTGTTATTTTATTGATACTTATATTAGTCTGAGCCTGGTTATGATACTTAAAGTGATTATGATAATAATTTGTTTGGGAAATTAGTAAAAATCAGCCAAGTGATTGACTTAATAGACAATATAATCATAGCTCCCCTAAAATAAAAAAAAAATGCAACAGACAAACAAAAATATTTTTATTATTAAAGTAAATAAAAAGAAACTTCTAGATGTCAAAACAAACAAAATAATTATGCAAGGAGCAAAGAGCTTAGCTCTTTTGTTGTAGACACATATTTATTGATTATACAGTCTTTGTTGTTCCTTAAGTTGATAGAAATGTTTTTTCGACTGCAATGAGTATCAGTGCCTCCAAGTTTTGTTGTGTTGTTGATGCTCTTAAGTGAGTTTTTAGAATCTTCAATTTGGAAAAACATCTCTCACATAAACATTGAGTAACACTAAGTGTTATGATATATTTGTATGCCTCATACAAGTTTTAATAGGCAGTAGAACACAACTTATAACTGCATAAAAGTTTAAATGCACATGAAAAACAAGTTCTACAAACAGCTTCTTTCACAAGCAGATGTGGTTGAGGTTCAATTTCATCCAATACATCATCTTTTGTTTTTGTGACAACACTTTCATGAAAGCTTCTTTTCAAGTGTTTATAGTTTGAAGCAAATAACACCAACTCTTCATGCAGTGAAATAGAATCAATATCTGGAATTGCTTGATTTGATTTTTCAAAGATCAACTTTCTCTGATTCAGCAATATTTCTTCAAATTGATTGGAATCAAACATGAAATTTTTTTGTATAGACCTTTGTGAGAAGCAAATCTATTCATCAAATGTTTCAGAACTACATTGTGGCAGGATATATTAAAATTTGTTTTTGCATCTTGGACAACAGCAGTTCTTATTTTTTGGGAAAACCTTTTATATTACAATTTCTTCTTCTGCAACTTTTTCATTGACTAGGTCTATGAATGTAGATGTAGTTTCAAATAAATTGTCAAAATCTCTAGAAATATTTTTGAAATGGAAAGTAGCATCATCTATTATATGCCATACTTGAAGAAGGTCAAGCCCAGGTGATTGAAAATAGTCAGAAACAGGAGTTGTAATGTCAAACATTCTGATATAGATAAAAGTCATCAAAACTATTTCAAATTTGGTCATGTTTTCATACAGATTTTTAGCATTATATAGCACCGACTGACCGAAATTACCGGATTCACTGACTCGTTTCAAGACTTTGAGAAGATCAGAAAGCATCTCATTCGAATAATTTCCATAACTGCCAAATCTTTTTCAAAGTGCTCCCATTCTACTGGACTACCTTGTTTGACTAAGAGTGTCAAGCTTTTGATGCTTACCATGTCCTAACTTAAAAGACTTCATTTCATCCTCCCAGACATGCATCCTTTTGTATGATTCTTTAAAAAAAACTTAAGCAATTCATTGAGAATTCGAAAAGGGTAACTGCTGCAATACAGGCACTACTTGCAGAACATGGGCATAGCACCAAGTGTGGACATATACTTCTATCGTTAGTGCTTGTAAGCCATTGTATGCACCACTCATATTAGCAGCCCCATCAAGTGAGTCTCCAATGCAGTGTTAAAGATCAAGTCCTACATCATTTAAGATTTCCTTTTGAGTGAATATAAGCTTTTCCCACCATAGTCTGTTACATCAAGAAGGTGCAGAAGTCTTTCCTTGGCCTGGTCATCTACAACATATCTGAGAACAAAGGCACGCTGGTAATGAGAAGAGATATCTTGTGTACAATCCATTTGTAATGAATAAATTCTAGCCTATTTAGCTTGCATAGCCACAATATCTTTGATCATATTTCCAGTAAAATTGAAAAGTTTCGTGATAGTTGTTTTGCTTATGAATGCAACCACTTTTCCTCTACTCCTCTTTGATGGGTCATGCTTTTTTGCCTTCTGTGTGATACCTTTCAGAGCTGGATTATATTCTAACACCAATTTAACTGCTTCTAAGAAATTTTCACGATTTTTAAAATGGTCTTCATCAAACAATGTGCTGCTGCTTCTGAATATTTGCTTCGATACGACAAAGTTTGAAATCCACAATGAAGAAAATAATTTCCATAATATCACTCAGGACTGCTCGCCTTTGAAGCATTTGGCCCTGTTGGACTAACATGTCACAATCTGTGCTCAACCGTTCTTTCTTGGAGGTGCACGAAATAAACTTGTGTTGAGTCCTGATGACATAGTGATTTTTCATGCCCAGATAATCTTGGTATGATGTGTCTCCAGTCTGACCACCCTATTATCAGTTGATTACCATGATTTCTTTCAGATGTAAACATCAAATGCAAACTCTTTTTCTCTCTGTTATAGGTCACCCAGGAGAGCTTGACGTCATTACCATGAATATCTTTGCGAATGTAAACCACTCTGCTATTGTAAGGTATATCTTTAGTTTGTTGATGTGGATGAAAATTCCAGAAGTTTTCTTTTGTAATATTTTTAGGCTTTTTAAAAAAATCATTTGTTGAATGAGAAGACACACTTAGTTCTGGGACATTTGAGCAGGAAACTTTTACAGGTGATTCTTGTGTTTGTATAATGGTATTTTCATTTTCTTGTTCAATCAACAAACTATTACTACTACCAACACTTTCTATTGGAGCATTTGAGGATTGAATCTTAAAAATTTTTGCAGGAGAAGGTTTAGTGGTCTTTGGTTGATCTGATGGGTATGGTGACTGTAAAACAGTAATATCAGTTTTTTCTTCAATCTATGTAGCAGATATATTGTAAGTACCTGCACTTAAATCAGTATCCTTTTCTTTGATTATTTTCAAAAAATGCTAATTTTAGGCAAAGTTTAAATTTTTTATCTCTTCTTGTTTTTGTTTGTGTTTCTGATCACCACTTTTGTGTATATATTTTCTTACAGTTTCATCCATTTCTGTTATTTTTCAAAAATAAAGTAATTACTCATAATCAAAATGATTAGCAAAAACATCATGAAAATAATAAAATTAAATTACAAATGTCAAATGCACAATAACAGTTACAATTAGAAACTTATACTTTTAGAATGGAGAACAACAATCTGATGTATCTTAAATTAAAAAAAAATTATAATCTAAATAAAAGACAATTTGGTAATTTTGAAGAATAATGTTGGGTTGATTTTAATTATATAAATGTAAGAACAAATTTAAACACGTATTTTTGTAAATGCAATGACTGTAAATGCATTATATAGTGCACTACAGTGCTTAAAGGGTTAATTGACGTGCCAAACACACAATTTTTCAAAAGCAAAAGTAAATTTCCATGTTAAACTTTTTATCTGATATAATTTTTTTTTTTATAACAATTTTTTATTAGACTGGTCTACAGGTCCCTACCACCATGGGCTCTCAGTCCACATCATATCTAGCTGTATGGTCAGTCCACCCCAGTCTGCAGTGGTTTCAGGCCACAAAGTCATACATTCATGGTATAAAAATACAAAATGTTGATCTTATGTTCAGAATACACCATTTTTTATATTGGCTAGAAACTACGATGTTGTTATATCTAGCAAGAGAAGATCACAGTAAAATTTTCTGTGCTATTTCAGCACATCCTTTTAAATTTTTATGTTCCTGAATGGATTTTTAGGAGCATTTGGCACTGGGTACTTTATTTCACTCCCTGGATTATTTTTAATATTGTGACTAAGTCTAATAATTGCTTCAAAGCAATCAAAATCTTTAGTTTTGTAACATAACATACGGATAACAAGGTTCACTTTGGTTCTTCAAGGTTTCTTTGCACACCCACCCTTGAGAAAAGTAAAAATTTAAACCCACCTTTATTTTTCAGTATATCATTGATTATCCCCTTAATAAATTATGACAACTAATTCTGTAAGTCAATCTCACTATTAGAAAGTAAAACTGTAACATAATCTGTCTTTTCTTCCAAATCTTAAACTTGTGTTCTCTCATCCCTTTATTTTTCATTATGCATCACAAAGAAACCAGAGGTCTCTATCCTATCAATCCCATAGATAACTTTGTAACTTCAACAAGATTACCTCTTACCCTTCTTTTCTTCATAAATAATAAAATATCTTAACATATCCATAAGATAACCTTTCCATTCCCAAAATCATTTTAGTTATCCTCCTGTGAATCCTTTCCAATAAAACCTTACCCTTTAAGAAATGCAATCAAAATTTACACAGAATTCCAAGAGAGGCCTAATTAGTGATTTGTTAATTTTGTACAGTAAGATAATCACATAACTTCATGTATAATCAATGTTTATGAATACACCCTAAATTTATGTTAGGTTTATTATTAGCAACAGAACACTGCATATTGGTTTAAACGACTTATCCATCAATATGTCAAGATTTTTTTCTTCAGCCACACTACTGAGTGAGTTCCCATCTTTATAATATGTGACCCAAGTTATGATAACCCAAATATATTACCTTGTACTTGCTATAGTTGTAAGTCATTTGCCAAATATTTATCTGAGTTACAAATTCTATTAAGTCATTCTGTACTCCTCAGCATCCTCAATACAACTACAAATAAAATAAAATTTAAGAACAAAAGGAATGGTCCATCTATGCCATCCAATCTACTAAAAACCAAACTCAAAGCCAGCTCCTACCATTTAAATATTCATCAAGCCTTTTTTTAAACTCCCTTAAGTTTGCTGTGTCTACTCATCTGAAAGACCAATCACAATATTAAAATAATCAAATTGTTTTAGCTGAAGATGACTCCTAGCCTTACATAATTTGTATTTTTGTCCTTGAATCCTACTATTCTCACCATTAAGTGTGAAAAAGATGATGCATTGCCACTATCACTATCTCAAACACCTCAGTCATAACACTTCTAACTATTCTTTTTTTTTTAAAGGAGTCAGTTTCAGAGATCCTATCCTGTCCTTGTATGACAGCCTTTCTATCATCCTAGTAGCCCTCCTCTGAACCCTTCCTAACAATTCAAGATCCTTCCTAATGTAAGGAAATTATAACCTCTTTAGACTTGCATTCACTATTTCTGTAGGTACAAACCTAAAATTGTATTTACCCTACCACTAGCAACAGCTCTTTGATTGGATGGTTTAAGAGACTGAGCAACCAAAATGCCAAGAAATGTTTTTTCCATAACACTGTTAAGGTTTTTCCCATCAGTATTATACTTACATTTCAAATTTTTAATAACTTGCATGCATTACCTTGCATTTATTATAATTAAAAACCATATTCCATTTATTTGCCCAACTTGTCAACTAATTTAAATCTTTCAGTATAAAAGCAGTATCTTCTTCACAGCTAACAAAACCTTAATATCAAAAGCAAACTTAAGTAACTTGTTGACCATTCCTTCATATATATCAGTGATATAAATCAAGAACAGCAAAGGTCCCAACACTGAGCCTTGTGGTACCTTACTTATGACATTAATCCAGCTTAAATTCCATTTATAACAATCCTGTGCTTTCTTCTATCCAATGAGCCAACCTATTCCTTGCTATTAATTTTTACATTTCCAGCCAATTTTTTTTATTAATGAATAGCCAAATCCAAGATATCTTATTTTTGTTCTTCATCATCTTTTTTCAACAAGCTTAGTGCCTACCTAGTTCTAGCAGTATCTATAATTTTATCATCATTTGATAGAGCAAAACAGTCTTCACAATCTTTGACTGCCTATTTTATTATTATTATGTGCAAAATTTATAAAGCTATAGAATACACTTAATATAATCTAGTAACCCAAAAAAGTAAACAAGTATAAGGAAAAGTTATTGCTAAATAATAAAGCTATGTTGCTGGCTACTGAATTTGAAAAAAGAACCAAACAAGATAGGGATGGAAGTAGACATATCACTTGATCAACTTTACATAGAAAATAAAATCTCTACATTACTGACTTCCTCACTGTCAAACAAATAGAACCAAAATTTCTAACTGTAAAATATTACTCTATTGTAAAATAGTCATAAAAATAGTATTCTAAAGTTAACTAAAGGAAAGGTATAATGATGAAAGCTGAGGTTCTATTCAAACACCAAACTTTCAGTTGACAAAGTTTGGAAGCCAGTAACATAGGGATTTTATTCTCCATGTAAAGTCAAGACAGCTGAGTCTGCTATTTGATCATCAGCCTATCAAGTGATAAATCCACTTCCATCAGTATCTTGTTTGGTTCCTTTTTCAAGTTCAGTAACCAGCACTACAGAGCTTTTTTAGTTAATGATAAATTTTTCCTTATACTTGTTATAATAATATGCAAAGAAAGATAATGAAGTTTTACCAAGTTATAAAGAAACAGTTAAACCTAGTTAAAAAAAAAGACTTTTGAGAAGAATTTGATCAGTGCTTATTATTTTATTAACTTCATGTTAATGCTTAGCTAAACAAAATGAATTTCAAAACTGACTTAATATGTACATTGTGAGTACAACCAGAGTATGAAGGTTTTGTGTGCAAGATTCTAAAAAAGCTTGAACCAGAGTTATTGGACTTAAACTTAAAGTACAAGAAATTATGTTTTGTTTTATTTTAAACTAAATTTATAGTATACTCTTACATATAAAGTATACTTTCTTGTAAGTATGTCTTTAAAATTTTCAAAAAGCATTGTTAAAGATCTTTGTTATCAAGTTTGATTGCAATCAATACATGGTCCAATATGTTCTGCTATCCTTAAATATCTAGGCTGTGCTTGAAAAACTTAATATAATTCATGAATTGTTTTACTAAAAAAGAAAGAGAAAGGTACAAAACATTTTTTACAGGGGTAATACGATCTCTCCACCTTCGAGGAATGCTTGCCCATGTATATTGCACAGAAACTAGGCCGTACAACCAGGGAGCCCGACTTACAGCATTTGAACTTATGCACGACAAAATTCCTTCTACTTTGATATGTGACAGCATGGTGGCTGCACTGATGAAAAGTAAAGAAGTGTCTGCAGTGGTTGTTGGGGCAGATAGAGTTGTAGCCAATGGAGACACAGCTAATAAGATAGGAACATACCAAATTGCTGTTTGTGCTAAATATCACAAAATACCATTCTACGTAGCCTTACCAGTCAGTACTGTTGATTTAAGTTTAAGAGATGGTGGTGCTATTCCTATAGAAGAACGGCCATCTGTGGAGATGACATATATTCAGGGAGTCCCATTGGCTCCTACAGGTATGCTTTACCAGTTTACCTATTTTGATTTTTTAAACTTCTTATGACAAAATTTGTAGATTTTACCGGACTGCATACTATGTTATAGTAAACGTTTAAAAAATATTGTCATGTTACTTTGATCCCACTTTCTCAATCTTTTTTAAATTGTAATTAATACACTATTTGCAACAACAAGATTACAAATTCTGCTTTGGTAACTGGAATACATGCACTTTCCAGAACATAAATACCTCTGTTGACTCCAATAGCTATTTCTCGATCTTCAATTTTGCCATCTAACATTGTGTTTGCTTGCTCCAGTTTTTATATACCCCACTCGACTTCCCTCGGCAACCATTCAAGAACAAGACTGCAGATCTCCAGTGGTGGTTAGACAGGAACAACATGACTATTGGGGTTTAGCTACCACTTCTTCAGCCAAATATCCATCTCTTCACGGATGGGGTGCTTTTCTTCGGGGACAGGAATTCCAGGGTGTTTGGATGGACTCCGAATCTACCCTGCATATCAACATTCTGGAACTTCTTGCAGTACATCGAGCAATGATTCAAGGTCTTCCTATCTTGATCGGGAAAATAGTCATGATTCACTCAGACAACTCCACAGTGGTCTCTTTATCTTTCTCGTCAGGAAGGTACTCATTCTCAGGATCTCTGTTTCCAGGTTTTGGATCTTCTGTATTGGGCTCATTTCCATAACATGCATGTTTTGGCCTGCCTTGTACCAGGAGTCATGAATTTGATTGCAGATAATCTTTCTCAACCCAATGAAATTCTTCCTACAGAATGGATGTTACATCAAGAGGTTTTTCAATGGATTTGTTCTCAGTTTAGAGCACCAATGATCGACGCTCTTGAAACCCATTGGAATGCATGGATACCATTGTTCTGATCTCCTTTTCCTCATCTGTAATTCCTGAAGATAGATGCTTTAAGTCAAGACTGGACGGGACTACATCTGTATGCCTTTCCACCTATACGTTTCTTACCCAGAGTCTTGTCTATGAATCATTCCACACCTTGTCAGGTTCTCTTGATTGCACCTTTTTGGGCCAGTTCAGACATCGTTTCCTCTTCTACAGTTGCTTCAAGAATGTCACCTCTACCTCTTCACCCATTCTTATTGAGACAATCTCGGTCCAATGTTTGATGACTCAATCTTCATGCATGGAAGTTATGTAGTCCTTTGCACGTAATAGGAATTTAACTTCTAAAGTTTACGTTTATTTGACAAAATCCCTCTGGTGACATATTTTGGCAATCTATCAGCAGAAATGGACTACTTATTATCAGTAGTGTCTGAGAAGAACTTTCAACCCCCTTTGTCCAACTGTCTCCATGATATCATGTTTTTTGACATGGATTTTTGAAAAAGGTCTTGCTTCTTCCACCATTGCTTTATATAAAGCTCCCTTAGCAACTACTTATCAATATACTAAATATCAGAAGGTTTTTGACTCCCCTGTATTATTCTATCTCTTATGTTCTTTTCATATTCTCCGACCCAAACAACCTTTTCAACTGCCTAATTGGGACTTTAGGGTTGTTTTACATGCTTTATCACATCATCCCTTCGAATCCATGGCCTCCTGTTCATTATATCACCTTTCCCTCAAAGTTTATTTTTTTATTGCTGTTAGCTTCTGGATGCCGTTGTTCTGATTTATTTTCCATTCATGTTCAGCAGACTGTCTATCATTCTACCTACGTTTTGCTCTATCCTGACAGATCATTTATTCCAAGAACTCTTGCTTCCAGAGAAGGAAACAAATCTTTTTCTCCTATTCATTTACCTGGCATTTCTCATCTTTACAGTAGAGCCAGATCATTTGTTATGTCCCGTCAGGGTACTCAGATGTTATATGGCTCGTACGGAACCATTTTGAAGCCGTAGGAACAGACTTTTTATTCATTGGGATCCTGCAGTGTCCAGGGATTTATCACCTGTTACTTTAACCAGATGGCTTCAGAAGTTAATTCATATTGCCTATTCGGGCAATATGCTCCACATCACCTCTCACCAGAATCGACACTTTTTGATGTCTTTGACTGTTTGGTTGAACTGTTCTCTTGAAGATATTTTGTGTGGTGGTATGTGGACTTCTCCGGACACATTCATATCTCATTACCTTCACGATCTGGCAGTTCCTCTTCGATGGGATTTCATCTTCCTCCTGTGGCTGTATTGACTACCTCTACTAGATGAGTACTAGGTGAGTAACGTGTTATCTGTCTTACAGTTATTGTTCTTTTCTATTCTAGGGTCCCTTTTGATTTCTTTTGGATCCCATTCAGTGGCGAGTGTTGCCCAGTTGGGTATGCTTGTATTTAAATTCTGCACTAGCAACCTTTATATCAGTTCCTGGTTGCAATGGGCTCTGTTGAGATGAGGTGTTCCATAAGACCATCTGTACACAATTCTCGATGGTGATATCATATTACGATATTTCTAATGGCCCGCTATTCATGGACTATCATTAGTAAAGCTAAAGGGGATTTTGCCAGATCAGTTTGCTTTTAAAAATTAGGAAATGTGGTTTACCTGTTGCACTGTCTCTGGAGACCTGTTCCTCAGGACT